GCCCACTAATATGCCTTAATGACGCGGCATCTGTCTCTGTCAAGTTTTGCGTTGCAGCAGCCAGACGTTCCCTGTTGTGGCCGACTGCACAGAGAGATACGCAGTCCTTTCATAGACACAGGCAAAGGGACAAAAACATCAGGACTTCCAAAGAACATCTGTGTTACTTGTGAGCACAGCAAAAAAAAAAAAGAGAAAAAGTCAACAGGTCTTTCTATAAAGTCAGGAAGAAATCCCACTTATGGGTTATGTTGTGTCTGCCACACTACGCGCTGCTAATGGTATATTGTGCAGGACCAGCAGGATTTTCGAACACTGTTACTTAGGCTGGGAGAATGGGAACCGACATGAAAAACAGAGCACTTTTTTGATGAGCATTGGGAGCCAGCGGAATCTGCATACCACTTTTAACACTTATTTTCTGGAGTCAGGCCACCCTCTGTCTTGCCATCTGTGTGTTTACAGTGACTCTCAGGGCTTGGCACACCAAAACCAGTCATCACTGCTAATGATGAAAATGTGAATTTGTATGGCATTAGCTGTGCAGAGCGTGTGAATGAGAGTTTGTGAACGTGTCCATTTGCATGTTTCACTTTGTGTGGGATTTTGCGACCATCCGAGCTGCCAGAGAAAGCATATTGGTCGCGATTGGCATAGTAACTTCTGTCATGTCCCGTGTGAGCATAAGCGGCAGAAGGTTTGGTTGGCCATCAGAAGCGCTGCGGAGCCACCTCTCCTCTTTTCCTGTGAGAATGACAGGCCTACACAGAAAGCAGTTTCAGCGTCAAAGCCTCAGCCAACAGCAGAACTGATTAACTCTCCTCATGTGCTCAGCAGCCATTCCAGTCCATGAGTTATCATTATTTTTTTACGTAAAAAGGATGGGCACCACTTAAGTGTCACAGCCACATTTTGTTTCTGCTTTGGATGTTTAATTTCTCAAACAATAAAATGCAGCTCGGAGCTGACATGTCTGTGCAAATAGGGCTTAACCATGTCCCTAATCCTTTGTAGAAAGTGCACCAATCATCAGCATTCTTTCAAAAAGTGAGTTAATAGATCAGTGTCCAATTGTTCCTTTTAGAGCAGCTTTGCAAGATTATAAAGTTGCTGCATACATTGCAAAAGCTGTCTTACATGCTGATGGAAAGTATGAACACTGAATGGTGAAGAGGGAAGACGAATACACCCATATAAGAGGGTGTTTAACCAAGTAATGTTGCTTATATTTTCAAGTCTATGTGATCAGGTGCCTAATCAGTAATATGAAAAAAGTATTTCAAAGCATATCGGAAAAAATCCTTTTACATCTCTTCAGAGAAAAAAAAATAGTGCAGCCAAAACCTAACTTAAAGGATTTGCAAACATGTGAGTTTGACTGAAATAATACCTGGAGTTTCTCTAAAGCAGACTAACACACCTAGACAGTCAAGCCCAGTTGTCTGACTGGAGAATTATCACCACCTACTATTTCTCTAGACAAACCTATACCTTAATGAGAGATGTGAGATATTTGTTTTTGGTTGTTTGTTAATGTCATTGGTTTGCGGCAGCAGTTTATATGATTATCAGCCATGCGTTGATGATCTTCGGCTACCTCATTACCTTTACAAGTCAAACGCTGATACTCTCACATATCATATTGAGTGAGCTGATCTGCTTATGGCTCTTAAGCCGTGATGGATTCTCATCTTCTGAGTCTCGAGGATATAAAGCTATTCATGCCAATGAGGGCCAGTCTAACCATGTGCTGTGTGTCTAAACACTGCCACCATTCCAGCCTTTTTCTAACAGGCTTGTTTGAGTAGAGTTACAGGAAGCCCTGATGACCTGTACCAGAAACAACAGCATCTAAAACTCTGTTTTGGTGAGGTTTTGTTCAACCTCATTTGTATAGAGTGAGACTCCACAATGGAGGTAACAGTGCCTCTCAGGCAAGGATTCAAAGGAGTTTGCATAAAGAATGACAGAAAAGGCAGCACTGGCCGGGCTCATGTGGCACTGCATGATAAACAAGAGACGTAGGTCACTGGAGAAGGCAGCATGTGGAGTAGGTGGATACGGCACCCTGGTGTCATGCCCATATAAACTGTCCCCTGGCAGCTCCAGCATATTAAACGGATACAGCGTCGGCTGTACCTGCTGCATGTAAATCTAGAGGGTTGAATGTGAATAAATGCATCATCAGTGCTACTGACCGTAAAGACAACAACTAAAAGTAAATCGAACCTCTGAGACAAACTCTTAAGGTCAACAAAACCCATTTGTTTCGCAAGTTTAACAAGGCTGCTTTCTTTGAGACGTGCTGTCGGAAGGAGCTAGCTTCCACACGTTTTGCACCACAGTGAACGTAGTTTATTTGTCATTTTCACGTGCAGAATCAAGCCGTGTATTTCCCAGTGATGCTTTGAGATATGTGTCATTTTGTGCGACTGCTTTGTATACTGTACTCAAATAATGGAAATTGCGTTTGAGCTTTCTCTGCCCAGCTCCAATACTTACTGAGCCTTTAGAATGGGTTTACAAAAAATAAAGATATCAAAACATTATCTTTTCGTTACTCTTAGCAGTTAAGAATATTTAGGCACTGTGCCTACGCATTCTTCACATTTATATCTTGTTTCCAAGCATAAAGAAGAGAAAACTCTGCCTGTAATGTCCCGTAACTGCTGTAAATCATCCAGGAGGAGGCACATCCAACAGTACTACTACACTTTAAGGGAATGAATATTGATTTAAAAACAAATTTGACATGGTTTTCAAATTAACTTTAAAAATGCCTTGCGTAAAAGAGTCACGGTTTGTAGTCTGTCAATGGAGTGGAGAAAACTATGCTCTTTGTTTTATGCTTTAATAAGATTCCATTAACGGCTTCTTCCACCTTGAAAAAGCCCTCTGAAATGGTGTGTGCCAGCTTTTGGTGTCTGTGTGCTCATGTGTGCACGTGTGTGATTACTGGTCTGAGGATGGTCTCATTTAGAACCGAGAGGTATTGACTAATCTTTTTGTGTGTATGTGAATCATTGTGTGTGCAGAGACTGTTGAACAGCAGACTAATGATTTTTTCAGGATGAGTAGCTGAAGTACTTTAATAATTATTCCACAAATTTTGACTCTTGAAAAACATTCTAGGAGTTTTCTTTTTGTGATTTTTGAAGTATGCAGACTTTACAGAAATATTTCATCCTGGAAAGTAGTCGAAAGGGTTGTTTCAAGCTAAGCAGGATCCGTGGTCTCTCAGAGGGCAGCCAAAGTGAGACACCAGGCAATCTCATCGGAGTGCTCAGTTGGCATGGTTTTGGTCTCTGGGGCCAGGTTTGCACACTCAGTGGGTCAGTGGAAGGAAACTGCCTCTGGCTGCTGGCCCAGCTCTCAGTTCGACAGAGACATATGGACACCAGGGTTTTTTCTTTTTTATCTGCGGGACATCATCTCATCAATCTTTATGACATGATAGTTAATAACTGAGCGAGTGATTCTCATCTTGGTTATTTGATAATTAATATGAGTGTTTGTTTTGTACACATTTAGGCTTCTAACTGTGCGTATTTCAGTCATTTGGTATTTAATTGATCTTTCATGTTTTTACAGTCATACAGTCTGTGTGTTTTTGTATCTTTAAAGAGAGTTTTTTCCCCGCAATTTTTTTCTGACTACGTATAAAAATGTATTGATTTATTAAGACGGTATCCAGTCCCCCCCCCCCCGCCCCCCCAAACTTGTTTTGAATTTCATTTTATTAATTTGATTTGATTGTGCTTGGTTTGAATTTTACTGTATCTTTGAAGTGCCTTCAATTTAATTTTAATCTGGTGCTGAATGAATAATAATAAATAAAACAGAACAGGGTTTAGCTAATTAGTGTAGCAGTAACATTAGTGTCTGGGTGTGTGTTTATGTTTTACTTATTTGAGGATGCTGGTTTTAGCTCAGCACAGCTGAGAATAGTGTGTTGGTTATGTTAGTCAGATTTGACAGACATTAAAACCTCAGAAATTTAAATTGATATTGTTCTTCGCAATGCAATTCTAAATTTCCATTGAAGAAAATTTTTTAAGCATAAAACCTAACTTTGATGTTTCTTTGCAGTTGCTTTCGATTTTCTATTTGCACTATAAAGGCATTATTTGCTTACACGCACAACTGTTAGATGCTACCAAACTTATACAATTATAAACAATTTACAAGGGCAGCATTTCAGAGTGGAGTAGACTCAAATTGCATAAAGACACTCCACTTAGCAACAGGGTTTTTCCCATGTTCCTTTAGCATAAGTATTCAAAATGGTATATGGTGTGAAAGTGGGTGTTGTGGTGTCTTAGGGCTGCAGGATAAGTGGTAGTCCCTTGGTTTTAACGCCACTACACACTAAAGATCCAGTCGAGAGCTCTGGGTGCTGAGTCAGCCATTACTATTCTCATAAGGTAGCGGATTAATCTCCAAAGTACCTTTCTCTGTCAGTGGTCCAAACATCTCTCATTCTGCCTTGTGGAATCATGAACCCTTTCGCGTTACTTATGTATATTTTATATAGTTTGAATTGCCTTTGTTTGTATGTTTCTTGCTTCTGTGTGATAACTATTCAAAGTCTGCAGGCCTTCTCTGGTAGACCTGACAGTGTGTTGCTCGTGAGTAAAATATTTTCCCCAAAATGTTTAAAGGGCTACTTGTCTTAGTTCCACAGGATTTAGCATGGGAGATGCAAGGTGTTCACCCAGCAGTGAACTGGTGTTTTTGTTTATTTAATTTGATCCTGACTGCCAGGCTGCAGCTGGTTAGCTTAAGTGCTTTGCCATTAAGCCTCTGTTCTGTGTTTAATTCTTTTACAGTGCCTGTGCTTCTGGGTATAATGGCAGGCTGCATACTGCCCACTCCACAGTAAATGTTTACCGTCTTGTGTGCCACATTGAGAATAAGCGAACAGCTCATCTGTGATGCTTTTAATTAATCTAATGGCTGCAGTCACCTAACCCTTGATTCACTGTGTTCTCCATCTGCAGATTTATAATGAGAAGAAGAGCCAGTTTGAAATCAAGAGAAACAACCCAAAGGACTTGGTAGAGCGAGTTGCGCGAGACATATCCAAGCTGCTCAACAGCAAGAGAAAAGCCCTGGAGGTAAGATGATGATATGCCATGTATTGTAGCGCCTGTGTCTATGTGCACGCACTTTACTTCAGTGGCCAGACGTAGACATACATGGTGGATTCTTTGGGGGGAAGGTGTGAAAGAAAACCACAGTAAAATACTGAAACAAAAGCAGCAATTCTGAAAGAGATGAAAATGGAAATTAATCAAATTTACAATCAAATTTAATCTTAATGTGAGTCCAAAACGAATAGATTATCAGATTTCTTCAAATGGAGGCAAATGCTTTTGTTGCATTCAACATTTTAGTGTCAAAGGCCTGTATTTACCTTTTTTAATGGAAGTGGTACTTTTTCAAAAATGCCTAAGTTCAATGCCACTAGAAATAGTACAAGACATGCCAGAAATCTTAAGAAACAAGCCACTCACTTGACATGCATTTTTCCGTACCATTTCAAATAAAACAATTCCATAAATGTGGTATGTAAAATTGAACAGTCTTTTTTTTGTTTATAGGAATGACAGATTGGCATTTTTTCTTTCTTTCTTTCTGAATTTCTTCCTCTCTTCTCTCCCTCCCTGGCTTTCTTTAGCCAGTAATAGAGGCCAGACTCTAGTTGTTCTTGTTAACTCCAACCCTGGGCCTTATAACAGGTCTGGCTCTAATTGACTCTCAGATTCTGTTTAAGAAACAATTCAATCCACTTTTTTCATGTTGATTATATCGAACAAGCATGGATTTAAAGGTTAATTTGCCCCTTAAAGGTAAATTTTTCTTCTGTGTCACAATCATCCTGGCATCTGTATGTAATAAACCCAGTTATAACAACAGGAGCTGAACATTTGACGCCATTTGGTATTTTGAAATTTAATCCTAACAAAACAGAAGTCAAAGGCACAGCTAAATCCAAAATTTGTCTTAGGACCATCAAAATAGTTTCTTTAACATGCCTTTACACATATATTCCAGTTTCTCACTATTAATATGAATTATCCTTCAGTTTTACTCTTTGGAATCTTGTTGGAGTGTGTAAGATATCTCTGTGTGAGAGTCTTTTATCAGATCTCTCTGTCTGAACAATTTATTTTCTTTTCAGCCTTGGTACCAATGATACTATCCTGATATAATGGACATTTGCCAGGCCTTTTCTGTTTATGTTTCATCTTAAGCCTAAAATAAAATGAACCGACGAAAGAACTAATAAACAAAGGGATTGACCCCTTTTAGTTAATAATGTCATACTATATGATGATTAAAATTATTTCTTGCATTCATAGATTATCTATGACAGATATTGTTTGATATTGGACTTAATTTGTGAGAGGACACAGTTGATAGGGGATCAGCTCTATTCCTTCAGTTTGAACTCTTCTATAAAGTCGTAAGGTATCTCCTTACAGCCAGAATACAATTTGAAGCTAATTATATTCTGTCAATAATTGAGACAATTATCTTCATAATGTTGTTGCCCAGCATTGGCTCTAAGGTTGTGTTTTTCTCTATTTAATATTTGAGGCGTATACTTCATTTGTGTGGTGCGTGAAAAGGTTATCGTTTCTCTGTCCTGCATTTTGGGATATAATTATTTTCACTGTTATGCTCAGACAGTTCTGTGATTAGTTAAAAATGTATTTTGCTCTCCCAGTGGGAAACCTCTAACCTCTCAGAGAAAAGGGAAGGGGAGGAAAACAGAGAAAGGAAAGATGAGCGGCATGAAGGGGAAATTAGGAAAGTATACACAGTACATTTAAAAAGACAGAGAGAAAGTAAAGGAGCAATCATATTGAAAAACTCTATATTTAAACCCGGTGTTGATGCACCCTGAACACAGGCTGGTTGTTAGAGCATTAGTAAGCTCTCTCTGATTCACCATTTCTCTTCAAATGAATTGGTAAACATTGTAATTCTAGATCGGACTTGACCTTTTGCAGCTAATTTTGTTTTTGTCTCTTGAATAAAATGACACAGAGGTAGCTAATTTTAAGAGTTCGAACACAAGTTGTTCTGCTCATAACTACATCAAGTACACATAAACATGACTCATTCTTTCTCTACATTTAGAGCGATGTTTTTCACTTTTCTCACACACCTTTAAAAAAGACTGCAGCATTGACACTAAACACCGTGTTTAGTTTGTTATTGTGCTAACGTTTCCTCTGTATGTCTGGGAGTTAATGGAAGCTGTAGTGAGGCTTTTAACCGAAGGCTTCTGAAAGGACAGAGGTGACCGGACTGTCCACTTACCTTTTAAGAGCATGAGGCTCACACAAACTTGGAAGCAGTAATAACAACATAGATGCAACAGACCCTTACGGCAAAAGAAGTATTACTATATGTGTTGTAAATGTGTAGGAGTAGATTTGCAATGGAGGTGACCTTCTACCTTTATGTTTTCGTAACTTTTTTTCCCACCCCCTCCACTTCCCTTAATATGTACACACAGACACTCATACAACCCCCACACCTCTGCCTGCATGGGCTACACTGTCATCTAGCATCCAGTCTGTGAGATTCAGACTCAGGAGGAAGGAAATGAGGTGAAAAAAGGGAAGATCTGAAATGAGAAATTTTCCCTCAGGCGTAGAAAAATCCAGAAAATGATGTTCAGAAATTCATAGATTTAAAAATGAGCAGCAAATGGGAGAGGGAGAGCAATAGAGGGGGTGCAGGGGAAAAGGGGTTGGAATAGTTTAAAGAAAAAAGAAAGTAGGGGGGGAGGAAAAGACCATTGGGTGATAAAATGTGTGATGGAAGTGAGCAGTGTCAAGGAAATCATTAAAACAGTCCAAACCAAAAGTGCAAACCATCACAAGTACGAAGTTGAAAGAATTCATTTTGACAGGCATCTTTATTTTTTATGCATTTTTATTAATGAAAAAAAAAGAAAATTCAAGACTGTAGACAATTTAATTCATATGGGCTTATTATTCATACAGAGAAAAGTAAAAGCCAGGTCTTAATGCAGTCAGTAGATAAGAGGATGTCAAACCCCTCTCAGGACTGTATTGACAGTGTTTTGTATTCCAGACTATTTCAGCTGCCTGTAATGGTTATTTAGCACCAAAGATTTCCTGTCACACAATTTAAAAAATAGAAAAATTGTGTGTACATATCAGCATTTGTATGTATGTAGGAAAAAATTAAACCTGCTTAAATACAACTTCAAGCTGTTAATTTTAAACTCATGTTTATTTTACTAATGAGAAAATACGCTTTGACTCAAATGTCTAGTTTTTAATGTATTGTAGGAAGGACAACATCTCTGGTTCTCTGAACAGATTTACTCAATTCCTCAATTGGTGGACAATTTTATGAAATAAGAGCTCTTCTTTAACGTTGAGGTCGAGCGTGGCAAAACATCGAGTTTGAAAGCCTTTTTTTCTCAACTGTCTGGAATGAGACTGTATTTAGAGTTCCTATTATACAAACTGCGGTTTGTCACAGCAGGGAAAATTTTATATACTCAATATACCTATATATATATATACATCAAACATGAAATTAAATATTTAGATATGCCAAAAGTATAAATCAAAATGAAGTTGCTGATTTTGGCAATGGATATATTATAAGGTGGCCTGATTTTGTTAGACGTCTGTCCAGTGGTACCGAATTTAAACATTTCTTTTTCACGAAATAACAAAATAAAAAGCAGCAATTTCTGGAAAAAGACTCAAATGGGGGGAAAAAAACAAAACAAAACCCAGTAATACAAAAAAGAGACATTGTCCATTTTTTCAATAAACTGGGTAATGGGTAAGTTTGAAAAATAAGAGTTCAAATTCATATACAGCAGTAAAAATATACATATATCTTCAGTAGTGTATTTTATATTATATGAATATTATATTCAGAATTGGTCTTTTACTCTGTCACAGCATCTGACCCTTCTTGTATCTTCAGCTACAGATCTATTATTGATATTGGGAAGTACTCAAACTGCTTCTTTAGCTTGATTTTCCAGCTTCTGCTTGTGTTACTCTGACAGCCCTTCTAACCCAGAGCAGCCAGAGAGAACAAAGCCCTTCCTCTCCACACGGCCTGTCATGTCTCAAAAGGCACGCAGGTGACAGGGTACAGCAGACCCACCGCTCTGATCTTAGCCCTTATAACCATTTTGCTCCTCTCTGTGATCCACCACAAGATTCTCTCTGATGCTGGAGATCAGCTGGGCCCTTCAGAACCAACATCCTGTCCCCCGTCAGAGCTAGGCAGAGCTGAGCTGTCAGTCAAACTGCTGCTGAGCTTTTCCAGCTTTAGGAGGGAAGGTGAAGCCATGAGCACGACAGAGGGGGATCATGCTGCATCCCCAGAAGCAGCACAGCAAAACTATCATTTTCAAAGCTTGTACATTTTGATTTCACAGAGGTGACTGATGAAATAAAGAGAGGACTAAGGGTGGTATAATCCAATTACACAGATCTCAATAGTATTCCAATACCACTTACGGCTGAAGGATGAGTACCTCTGCTCTGCATGCTGTTTGATGGAAAGTCACACGCCAATCCACTGGGCTGTTAATGGCTTTGAATACATGCAGGGTCACACCACAGAGATGAGAGGGGGAGAGTGAAGGAAGAAAATGCAGCGCAGGACACAACAGATAGTGTGTGGGACCTTCATCAACAGATTTACAGACACACTACTAGGAAAAACACACACACATAAAAAAAGAAAGAGGGAAAGAAAGCATACTTAATTGAGGCCTTTGAGTCAAACATGTGTTCATGCTGGATTCTGAGGTCTGCCTCACTGCTCTGAAGGGAGGGAGATTGACCCATATGATTCACTCTTCACTATTTTAGCTACATCTCATTTATGATTTTGACATGGGGCTGCTTCTCTGGTTCCGTTGAGCTTTGCTGAAATAGGCCTATAAGCAGTCACAACAAGAACAATTTCTTCTTATGAGCCTCTCCACTGAACTAAACTGTATGTAGGTCTTTTTTGACTCAGTTAAAATAGAAGTAGATTGGGGGTATTTGATGTGCTAGATAGTTTTTTTATTTCTCTTTTTTGGGGAGATATC